CACGACCCTATAATCAGTCCTGATGTAGTATACTTGCCTATACGACTCGATAATCTGGCCGGACAGACGGCGTACATGTGAATATGCAGATGTCCACCCTAATATTTATGAATGCTTCGTCAATGATTCGTTCATGGTGTAATTATTCTTTCCGCCGAGTCTTTATTTCGTTTAACAATGAAACCTTAATTGTGTGTCGATAAAATTATAAACTGGAATTCTTGAGAATCATTTCATTGAAATTTTGTTGTAACTCTATGATTTTTTCTCTGTTATTTACTTGAGAATGTATTATTATTCAGTATATTTCCTTCGCCTCTGAAATTCCCAAACCTCAAGTCATCAAATCGTTGATAGAATCGTCTCGATAAACCGAACAGAAAGTAAAATTATAAAATGGAATTCTTGAAAATTATTCCATTGCAATTTTGTTGTAATTCTATGATTTTTTCTCTGTTATTTATGTGATAATGTATTATTATTCAGTATATTTCCTTCACCTGAAATTCCCAAACCTCAAGTCATCAAATCGTTGATAAAATCTTCTCGATAAACCGAACGGAAAGAAATGCTGAGTGTGCAGTTTTTGGTCGATTTAACCAGTTAACTGTGGAATTTAGTTGGAAAAACTTCTCGTTCTGCGCGCAATAAAATCGAAAAATGGAGCGTGTACTCGTCGAACGCGGGACGAATGCACGCAGAGCATATTTTAATGAAAGATCAAAGCGAAACAAAGAAGAATTACACGATTATGTGAAAAAATAAAGAATTCATGAAAGAATTAGTATCGTGTCAAGCTTTATGATGTTAACTGGTTAAAAAGATTTCCAAAGAAATTCATTTGTAATGCAATCTAATGCGTTTCATTATGTTAGACTTTTCTAATTAATAAATAATACTGAATATTCGTGACATAAAATATTCAGAACAAAAATACTTTACTTTCTGGATCAAAGATTATTTACAAGGTCTACATGAATTATTCAAATTGAAATATAGTGGATGGGATTTAAATGTATTGTTTCAATGAAATATTCATTGAATAGTATGTTTCCGTTTGCCTTCTTATAGAATCTATAAATAAATTAAAGAGGTTTGCAAGTTTCGAGTTACTCCGGACACTTTTTCCATTATCATATTTGTCGCGGAGGTATGAATACTTGGAATCGCACGGTTACTATGTTTGCGCTGGTTTCTCCGGCTTTCACGTTACAACGTCGACTTTCGACGTACGAGGTTGAATCTGCTTTGAAAATTTTGAGGATACTTACTAATTTTCATTAGCTGCCAGATGAAATTTTGAACGATTTCAGAATTCAAGATAATCTGTTTAAACAATTACGTTTAAATATTGTTCCCCTCGAAAAGATTAGTAACATTTTTGCCCAACATTTTCCCAAGATTGCCACTTCGAAATTCGCCGATTATAAAACTGTACACGTCAAATATTTTTCGTTGCTCCACTTCCATTCAGAGGCTAATTAAATTCAGCGCGCACGAATTCGATGATGCCGTTTATTGACAATGTTTCGTTCGATGTCAAATAAAATTACATTGTTCTTTTTGGGCAGAAATTATTTATCCTATGCGAAGAATATTATTGTGAAAAGGTAGAAGATATAATGGAGAGTAATTAAACATTTATTTTCTAAAAAAATTTTTCTCTTGAAATTCTGAAATGATTACATCGAGATATGTGAGCAAATCGAATATATTTGTCTTTTTAAATGTTTTTTCATCATTTTTTATCGCACGTAAGAACGTAAGAGTTTCGAACTCGTCGTACTCGAGAGATTTTTCCGTTTATTAATTCCTGCGATAATGATCTTATACCGCTCGAATTCTTACCGGTTACGAGATTTAATCTAAGGACTGTAGACCTTAAGAAGGATTATTTGAAGTTCTTCAGGAACTGGGTTGAACTCTTTATGGTGTCCTTTCGAGCATTATACGAATTCCGAGTAAAAAGACTAACTACGTTCGCGGAGGACGAAGAAACTTGAAACCGTTGATATTACAAACCGAAGTTACAAAGATTTTAAAATTCCATTATACGTTTTTACTTGATTATCCTTAAGGCAATAAAGGTGAAATCATGCAAGGTTCCACGCGAGAAATTATTCAATAACAGTTAACTAAAATTATAACATATTATTCAACTCACATATTCATATGCTTATAGTAATAATTATTCAAAATCACAACGAACATACTCTCCCAGTTTATACAGTTGACCTAGTGTTCAATTGTTTCAACATCAAACATTTTCAAACACTTCCATACTACACATAATGTTCCCTATACATCACACAATGCAAACCTGATTCAATTTTCAAGTGAATGCACTGGCAACAATAACAATTACCCAAAATCACAACGAACATACTCTCTTAGTTTACACAGCTGACCTACTATTCAATAGTTTCGTCATCAAACATTTCCAAATATTTTCATACTGCCCATAGAGTCTCCTATACATCACAAACTGCAAACCTGATTCAACTTCCACGTGAATTCCCTCGCAACAATAACAATTATCCAAAATCACAACAAACATCCACTCCACACAGCTGACCCGCTGTTCAGCAGTCTCATCACGGAACGTTCTAAATAAAATCTCCATGCGAAATCTTTGGAACTCCCTCCGAACCCGATGCACGCGACGGCATCGATAGATCGTGACACGGATGCTGAGCAGCCTAGCCAGCGGCCGATAGCGCGCCGCTTTCACGGTTGCGCCGGTGATAACGGCCGCGAAGGAAAGTGATTCATCCGAAGAAAGGGGAGAGGGGCCTCGGCGAAAATCGTTTTGTCGATTCGCGGCGACAAAGGCTCGATTACAAGGGGACCGGAACCGTTCACAATGAATGCGGGATAAACACGCGACACACAAACAGACCGACCTAGACATTATGCCGGGTCCACACTGACGTTCACCTCGCTATCAAACTTCGACCCGCATTCGATCTACGATTACCGAGCATCGATACGGTGCTGCGACGAGTACGTTCGAAAATGTTCGTGACGACCGATCGATACTATAGACTATACTCGATCAGACTATCTCGACAGCAGCAAATCCTAATTCAGAATTTCTACGCGATTAGACGAATGTTTGAATTGATATTTAACCGTTTGCACTCGAAAGTTTTTCACTAGAAACGTCCCACATTTTTCGACGAGATATAGACGACATTCACAGATAAATTAAGCGACGAAGCTATTTTATTTAAATACTCTCTATAGCAATACAAAGTTCAGTTTAAAATACTAAATATGCAACTTCATAGTTTTGCTGTGTCAAATCGAGTGGTGACTGAGAGTCACCTCTCGAGTGCAAAGGGTTAAATTGCGAGGTTTCAGACGATTTTGGATCTTTAAACAGTGGAAATAAAATACTGTATTATCGTTAATTTTCACTTTACATTAAAGACCTTTTGTGTATATAATCCCTCGGTATTATGTATAGTCATTTTCCAGTGTTACTGGTGATTATGCATAATTTCCAGGGGATTAATGGCCGGATTAGTCAAAGTTACTGTAATATTAACAGTATTTGTCTGTGACTAGAATATTGTGCTGCAAACAGCGCAAAAGCTCTGTTGATTCTATACCGTTGCGCTAGAAGTCGAGTCACCTCCCAATGACGCTAACCCTAGCGTGAACTCGGCAGTAGAGGTTCAGAGGTTCAAGAATCGAGGATTTGAACGTGTCCGTTACGCCACGATGTCGCGTACGGCGAATAGTTGGTTAGGCGTTGCGTAAAATTGACTGGCAGTTTTGGCCAGCGCTGGCCAAATTAGAACAATTGAATAGCCGGAAGTCAAATAGCCCGTAAACTATGAAAGTGGCTTTCGCGTTCAATATGCCGACTGATGAGTTTTGCCGGAATGACCGCAGCCAAATGTTGTGTGCAACGCGCGCGCGGATCGCTGGGAGCATTTTGAATCCTGCTAGTTTCGATCCGGTAAACACGCCCGACGGGGAATGTTTGTTCGCGGGCCAGCGAAAAACCGGGATAATGGTTTCGACGGTTAATTAAATACTGTATTGTGGATTTTTAATTAACTGCGCCGAACGGTTCGGGCCGGGGGTTGCGCGGGAGTGGTTTGTCGGATACGTTTATAGATCGATCGTTCGTTTTTCCCATGAATTCGATATGGAAATAATAATTAGTTGGGAAGGGGACGTTTACTCTTTGCGGTTCGAGGTGTTCCTGAGATTTTACTTCGGGAATCGTTTTGTTCGCTTCGACTCGATATAACCCTTCGCGGACGAATGTCGATGTTTTGATGAAGGGTTCATATTTGGAATACTGAGATGCAAACGAATCATTCAGTTATTTTAATAGCAAGGGATTAGTGTGTAGTTTTCCTTTTTTACTATTGTTTTAGTATTGGATGGATAGTTTAGCTTCATATGCTGCAAGTTTTGAGTACTTTGATGAGTATTCGTCTGCAAACGGTTGACACATTGTAGATATGGCAAAGCTACCATAGTAACCTATAGTATCTAAAATATAATACACTCAAAAGTCACCATAGTGAGCTACAATAGCTAAAATATGATACACGCGAAAACCACTATAATAACCTATAGTAGCTAAAATATGATACACTCAGAAGCCACCATAGTGACCTATAGTATCTAAAATATAACACACTCAAAAGCTATTATAGTCAGCTGCAATAGCTACAATATGAAATACTCGAAAGCCACTATAGTAGCCTATAGTAGCTAGAAGATTATATATTCGAAAGCCACTATAGTAGCCAATAGTAGCTAAAAGATGATATACTCGAGAGCCACTATAGTAGCCTATAGTAGGTAAAAGATGATATACTCGAAAGCTACTATAGTGGTGTACAGTAGCTAAAATCCGAAACACGCGAAAGCCAGAGTAGCCAAAAGGTAAACCCCCACGCTCGAGGGAAAGCGGCGTACTCGCGGCCCGACACGAGACCTATCCGCGGCAAACACAGGGTGCACGGATTGTCCAGGTGAGAACCTCGAGAGTCTTCCACGAAGCAAGGACCAATGCTCTAGGCTCACGGAGAAGCGGTCGAGCGCGGCGGCCGCGTACGCCGCGCTGCAGGGCAGCGAGGACGAGCTCGTCGCCGAGCACTGCCTGGACTCGGAGGACGCCGCGCTGAAGACGCCCGGCAGCGAGACCGAGGACACCGAGGACAACGGCGCCCAGATGGACGGGCCGGACTCACCGAGCCATCGTTTCACCTTCCTCAGGCGGTTCCGCCTGCCGCGGTTCGGCGAGGCGCACCACAAACGCGTGCCCACCCCCATGAAGAGGAAGTACCCGCGGAACGAGGCCAAGGACGACGACATCATGGACAGCGAGATGAACGCGGCGGAGGTCGAGCCGGCCAGCCTAAACCAGACCGCCGTCACCGACCCCTATTACCCGATCTACCTGCCCATCGACCAGTCGTTCAAGGCCAAGTACCTGTTCCATCACAAGAAGGGGAAGACCTTCCAGGAGAGGCTGTACGTGTTCCTCGAACACCCCGGCGGATGGGTCTGCTTCGTCTATCATTTCACTGTGTGAGTATGGACACGCTGGGACCACGTTCCCTTCTTTCCTCCCTGGAGGATCCTTTCGCTTTGCTACCCCCAGGGGCCGCATGGCGTTGCGCTATGGGAACTGGCGATCCCAGGGTGCCCGAGCTGGGCTGACGAAGTCCTGTGGACGAGGGACCTTGATGAGGGGATACTGTGTTATTTTTCTTGGGAGGTTTTAAATAGGCATAGGTGTATTTCTATCTTTATTTAAATAGACTATAACTGGACTAGAAGTAAGCTGAACTACGTTAGTACATAGTTGTTCTACCTAAACTATTCTACGCTGGCCTACTCTGGCCTACTGCTCTAGACTCCCAAAATACATTGTTCCACTCTGTCCTGCTCAATTCGCGAAACTACACTGTCCTAAAAAGACCTTACAATTATCTTAACAGCGCCGGCAACGTATCGGCTACTGAGCCCAAACGGCCTCATTCGCTTGTATCCGATCAATGAGTAGCCAAAAAAATATTCAAAACATACATTTTCGTAAAATAGTACATTTTAATTGCATAAATGAGTTGAAGTGTCCTGATCATAAGGTCCAGCCTTGCGTCGCACATTTTTCTATAAGAAATCAAGCAAGTCCCACCGATAGACCTGTGATAATTGGTACGCTGTGGTCTAAGTGTTCAATAGTTTCGCCGGTCATTCGTCGTTGGCTTCACAGTTGAAAGTCTGCTTGCAGGGCTAGAGACTTTCAAAGACCTGAGCACGCGAGCAGCGTCCCACGCGGACCAAAATCTAGTAGCTTCGCAAAGCGAGCTCGACTAATCGACCGACATCGCGTCCCGCGAATTCCGACACGAATCCGCGGCGCCGCGCGGCTCGAGGCGATAAGTGGATCGAAGGCTTTAGCGCCGGCTGAATGGCGCTGTCCCTTTGCCGGCGATCTCTCGACCGGCGAGCGGGTATCTCTCGGTTTCTTATTGTCCGGCGATTCCGGCGGGCCCGCTTCGCCGCGACAAAACGCGGCGGCGGCGGCGGCGGCGTCACCGGCGACGTGTACCCATGGGAATTCCGATATAAAAGCCCCGGCTGTCCTCGCGCCTCTATTTTTACACCGCTCGGATCCTCCCCCCGGCCCC